GAAGAAATGTAACCTGAACAATAAAGATTTAATAAAAAAATAAAAAAAAAAAAAAGAAATCTAGTCTGCCTAAACGGAAGTGCTACAATTTCATGATTACTATAAGATAGACTAATTCATATACATGTATAAACAAATATGTTCACATGACTCTTCTGCTGAATAATATTGTAATAACTATGTCTGGTGCCAGATTGGGACTAGGCTTATTGTGATAATCATTTTGTAAGGTACATAAATGTATAATTACTATGTTGTACACCTGAAACTAATATAATATTGTATATCAACTATAATTTAAAAACATAAAATAATTGTTAAGCAATATAGAAAAGCTGCTTGGGGGGGAGGGTGTTAAAAAAAGCTGGTTAGTGATGTTTTGCTGCTCTCTGCTGGACTGTTTGTATATGCTCCTGAGGGTCTGTGTTATTTTGCAAAAAAAAAGTGGGGGGAGATTATGAAGTGCCAAATTAGTCCAGTGTTAGATTCTTTTCTCAGAGCCTTAAGCTTCAAGGAGGTGTCTTAGATATTCTGCAAGTGCTTGATTTCAAATTTTATTTTTAAACGCATTTAAATTGTTTTTTACATTAAAAACAATATTGTGCATTTAAATGTTATGGAGCCAATTTTGACACACCAGATACTGCCTGAAACTAGTCTTAGAATGGAAAAAGAGTATCTTAAGCCATTCACTGCGAGAGCAGGCAGGAAGTGATGGATTACAAAGTACTTTATAGGAATTCACTGGTCACTTCCTGGATATAAGAAATTACAAAGTGGAAAAGGTCAAATGTGACTATGAAGTTTGGAATCTGTCTGGTTAATGTCACAAAAGAAAGAGGCAAATCAGAAGGAAAGTTGGTGGTTGGGTGAAGTGATGAGGAGAAGATCAAGTTTTGTTACATACATCTTTTTTTCCCCGAATAATTGAGTTTTCTATATTATAGTGCTCAGCTTTACATGCTAAAGGCCAATATAACCCCACAATATAGTGAGTTCATACATCTTTGCTAAATGGGATCTTTTTAGACAATAAACTGCTTATATATTCAATTCAAGTAATTTATTTCACTGTGACTTGGCTTATTGTTACTGAATAAATCAACTAATAATCTTAAAAAGAAAGAAAGAAAGAAATCTGAAGCCATTCAGTCTTCTCATTATCACTCCATTTCAAACCCTGTGGTCCTCTGTTAAATCATTCCAATAGGAAAAAATACTTACAATGCTTCACAGGGGAATAAAAATTGTGAACTATTATAAGTCTTCTGCATCTGAATTACAAATTGGAAGCGTTTCCATTCTTTATGTGGTTTATTTTGAAACACCTGGCAGCATCATTTCATGGTTTACTATTTGGTCCTTTCAGAGAATTTAAATCACTGACACATTTAAAACAGGATTGTGGTGGGAAGGAGGACAGCAATAACTTTCTTCAGTAGCTATTATTGATTTCTCCCACCTCTTTCCTTCTTCCCTTTGAAATTCTCTCATGCTATGACACAGCCTTGTTTGTGTCTAGGCCAGGGGTGGGCAAACTGTTTGACTCGAGGGCCACAATGAGTTCTTAAACTGGACCGGAGGGCCGGAACAAAAGCATGGATGGGGTGTTTGTGTGAACTAATATAAATTCAAAGTAAACATCATTACATAAAAGGGTACGGTCTTTTTTTTTTTAGTTTTATTCATTTCAAACGGGCCGGATCCGGCCCGCGGGCCGTAGTTTGCCCACGGCTGGTCTAGGCTGACAATGACCAAGAATAGTGAAGTCCCAAGCCATCTCCTGCCTAGATTTTTGCAACAAGTCTCCTAACTGGTCTTCTTGCTTTCAGGTTATATCCCTAAAAACCACCTTCTATAACAGAAACCAGAACAATTGGTCTAAAATTGCACATCTGATTGAATCAGCCTCTACCTAAAGTCTTTACTTTTACTTTTGTTTTGGTAACAAGGAAATATTTATTAGTACTTCATTACTTTAAAAATATATTTTTTCATTTATTTCAGAGTGTGTGTGTGTGTGTGTGAGAGAGAGAGAGAGAGAGAGAGAGAGAGAGAGAGAGAAGAGAAACAGAAACAGCACTGGGGATCAAGTCCACAACCCGGGCATGTGCCCTTGACCAGAATCGAACCTGGGATCCTTTAGTCTGCAGGCTGCTGCTCTCTCCACTGAGCCAAACCAGTTAGGGCTAGCAGGCTAGTTAAATTGAGAATTTTGTATGGCCCATAAATGATGTCATAAATATCTAAGTGGCCCTTGGCATAAAAAAGGTTCCTACCCTTGTTTTAGAGTAAAGGTAATGTGTGATATGGACCCAACATCCACCATCATATGTGTAAACGGAACCTTAGGAAAACAGTGCTGGGTGCGGCACTGTTTCTAAATTCACTCATTCCCTGGTTTATTTGGGTACTATCTAAGAGATACGATTTGTTATTATTTGTATTCTGGCTGTGTCTCTAGGGAAAGCAACCACTTGACTGTTCAATTTTTAAGTCCGTTTTTTCATCTTTTCTGCCTAGAAAAACCTGTTGTCTCCTGATGCAGCCTCTTGAGCATGGATGAACTGAGGGGTTCCGTGGGAAAATGAAAATGTAATACTATTATCAGATATTCGCCATGGAATGTACTTCACCACCTTAAACAGAAAAGGTGGCTTTACTTACCTGATTTTGACAACTGGGTGACATGGGCCCTTAAATCACCTCCACCCCTTTAATTTGCCTATGGTTTTCCTGGACTCTTGTAAAAGGAAATGAAGTTAAAAAAAAAAAAAAAAAAGAGCCAGACATTCTGAGGCCTGATTTTCCCTCTGTTTGAGTACAGAACTTTAGTCCAGACCCTCCTGAGTTGTCTGGTTTTTTTAAACAGGAAGACTGTTGCTTCCTTAGTATTAAGACGTTCCCTGTTCTGTGAGGAATTTTTATTTGCAAGGGGTATGTGCATTCCTTCTCTGATCCTTCTCTCTGCACACAAGATGCTGCTGTAAGACTATGCCCCAAGGTTGCAATTTAATCAGCAGCCTGAAGGGAGTGCTGCTGCGCCGGAGCAGAGTATCCTAAAGACAGGGAGGCGGAGAGGGCCATGCTGATGGTGACCATGCTGTTGGCCAAAAAGGTGGCTGATCACACCATCCTCGCTCCCTGATGTCTTTCACACAACAGTAAGTTTTATTAACCAGAACCTACTCGCCTATGTGAGAAACTTGGAAATGAAATGGACTGAGTGGGTGGATGGCTACAAAAGCATGTCTGGTTAAAACTTGAAATGGTGACAGCAGTTAACTGCCTTCCATGGAGGGGCAGCCATGACCATTTAAACAAAGTTCTTGGAGAAGAAAGGCACAATATAATAGCTATTTGTTTCTCACTGTTTTAAAGGTGATGTTTTAAGCTGGTGACCCATTTAGAAATCTCTACATTAATACTATACTTGAATGAAAATGTCAACTTACACGTATTTGAACAAGCTTCCTCCCATCCTCTAAATCCATCTACACATTGTGCCTTTATTTCTGCTGTATAGGTCTCCATTTGAAAATTAAAGGCAGATTGTAAGGCAAAAGAAAAAAACACAATGTTTTTGTTTTAAAAACACACACACACAAACTCTACCTAAAGTCTTTAAATTCTCATCTCTCATCTTTTCAAGCAGGAGATATGTCAGGTCTGTGGTTCAGCTCAGTCTGCCTCTCAACTTCTTGCCTCACCCTGTACAGCACAGGACCAACTGTGCTTCCCTGCAGCATAAATCTTTTTGCTCCTCACGGTGGTATCTTTATTCCTTTATTGTCCTCTCTACCTAGATTCCTATCATGCTCCCTTCCACTTCAACTTCCTCTCTGGCCTTTGCCAACTCAGAATCTCTACTAGATGGCCTCCTTTGCCTGATTGTCTTTTCAAGCAGGATATAGGTCTATCTTTAATCCCTGCATCAGTTACAGTTCTGGCAAGCACAAGTTGATCAATAAGTTATTGCTAACTAAGCAAGTTTAACAAATGAGTACCAGTAACATCGGTGTGGTAATCTCCAAGTTGCAGTGTCCCAGTGTGAGGGCATGAGGCATTTTCCTGTCTTGTAAGTGTCCTAGGTTACTGTAGATAGGCTGTGGTTGGAGGTTGTTTGAGGCATTGAGACCGACTTGTATGTTACTATTTAAAAAAAAACATCAACACACACATAAAACTTGCAATCTGACTCTATTTCAGACCTCTTTATGTAGGAAATAGGGATGTGGAATTTTGCTTGAATAATTTCTGTAGCTTAAATATTTGGGACAACTTATGTGCAATTCTACAAGAATCTAAATTCTAATATGCTTTTTTATAGAAATAGCATCTTCACACTTATGTAGAGTATAAAATACTTGTAAAAATTGACAGTATTAAATATCTTACATTGTTATTATATTTGCAGGAAACATAAACTCAACTAAGGTCATAGGACCTATGATTGCAGACTGACTAGGAGAGTGAAGAGTTCATTCACATTTAAAGAAAGCAGCAGCACATAACGGTGAGTGTAACTGATTGACATCTCTGTTAGGGATGTGGATAAATATCTTCTAAAGGAATTATGGAGTTATATTATTTTAATACTATTTTATTAAAGAAATGTATACAAATAGTATTTTATATTTAATATATGTTTTGAGTTTTCAAGAAGTAAAGCAAGACTGAATTTTTAAACACTATTAGCATATTCTGTCCCAAGAGAATATGATTCTCAAGAGAATGGCACAAACCACATGTAGAATTCCTCTAAATATGTAACCAAACACCATATTTTCTTCAATTAGATAAATGTCTGGTGTTATGTTTCTATAATTTATGTAAATTGCAACCATAGACCTATAATTACCCTATTTAAACTTGGCTGGTTCCCCAAAGATTTCTTAGAAGAAAACTTAAAATAATAATTAATGCCTATCTTTTCAGATCCACTGGGAGTGGGGTACTCTAGGTTGTAATTTTTGTAAGTATCTAGTTTTGCATATTTCTCCTAGACAGGAATATTTTTACATTATGTGGGAAGATAATTGGGAAAAACATGTTTTTGTGTGTGTTTGGGAATATTATGGTAAAGGACATTTGAAATAGGTATTTAAAGCCAAACAATAATCTAACTTTTATTTTAAATCGTTAAAATGCAATATTTAAAAAAAAGAAGTTGGAATGAAACCTGGATCTTTTAGCTTCTACCCTAAATCCACCCATTCCTCCAGTACTATACAGCCACTACTTTCTGTCTCTATAGATTTCCCTATTCCAGACATTTCATATAAATGAAATTGTGTATTTGGCTATTTGTACTGGTTTCTTTCACTTAGCATAGTTTTTGAGGTTCATCCATTTTTTATCATGTGTCAGTATTTTATTTTTTTGTGTGGCCAAATATTATTGGCATTACATGTGGCATTATTTACACATTTTGCACATTCATTTGATGGGACATGTATTAATTAGTGTCTCCATTTATTATTTTATGTTTTATTTACTGAGTTTAGAAAAAGAAAGGGGGGAGAAGGAGAGAAAGAAGATGAGGAGGGGAGAGAGAGAGAGAAACATCTATTTGTTGCTCCACTTATTTTTGCATTCATTGGTTGCTTCCTATATGTGCCTTGACCAGAGATTGAACCCACAACCTTGGTGTATCAGGAGGACACTCTAATCAACTGAGCTACCTGGCCAGGGCTAATTAAGGTCCTTTTAATTAAATCAGTATTTACTATGTAGCAAAAGATCATGTCAGCTATACCTTTTATTACTGGGCTTTTATGCATTGGGGAGAAAATATCCAAAGTTAAAGTCTGAGTAGCTTTCTGGTACTATGAAGCACCAAATAATAAAGCAATAACCTGAGTCATCCTATATAATAAAAGGGTAATATGAAAATTGACTCTAAGGTGGAACAACTGGTCACTAGGACACACACTGACCACTAGGGGGCAGATGCTCAACACAGGAGCTGCACCTTGATGGTCACTGTGCTTCCACAGGGGAAGCGTCGGTCAGCCAGAAGCCAGCTCATGGCTGACCAGCGCAGTGGCAGTGCTAAGCTGTTGGTCAGACATCCCCCGAGTGCTCCCAGGCTGCCAGAGGGATATCTGACTGCCAGCTTAGGCCCAATTACCCAGGGAGTGGGCCTAAGCTGGCAGGTGGACATCCCCTGAGGGGTCCCGGACTACGAGAGGGCACAGGCCAGGCTGAGGGAATTCCCCCCACCCTCCCGCCAAGTGCACGAATTTTTGTGCACCAGGCCTCTAGTGTGATATAAAAGGGAAGCAGATTTTCAGTCCAGTTGTTCGTCAAGGAAACTGGAAGACTGATTTAATTCTGTCTGTCCACAAATTACATACAAATCACTAGGTGCCATTAGGAAAAAGTGAAAATGAAGTGTGTTTGTAAGGTTGTTGGTGGGAAGTTTCCTATTCACTGAGAATAATAAAGGGACAAACAGGGGAGGAGAAGAGATACATAGAGGAGTGATTAAAAAGTATTAGTGCTGTAACTTCATAAGTTATCTTTATTTCTCTTGAGAGCCTTGATTAACAAATTAGAGATCCCAGAGACCTACAAGCAAATGTAGTTGCAAGAGCCTGAAACTGGAGTAAGGAGATGTAAATTTGAGTCCTGTCCATCACTTATAGTGGTGTTTCCTTCAGCAAGACAGTTAAGCTACCATTTCCTTCTCCGCTAAAAGTGGCAATATTTCACTGACAACTGCTGTGAAGATTAAATCAGGTGATGGGAGCACCAGGATAAATGTTTACTTTCAGTTGGTTCCCCAGAAGCCCAGTCTGGGGTCTGGTAGCAGATAGAGTCCCTAAGAAATATTTGTCGTGAGAATAAATGAAGCATATGATAAATTATAGGGAGATATTCAAATATTCTTTCTGTAGTATTACTCCTTTCCCTCCAATTTATTCAGTCTTCCCAATTGAGTGATGAGATGTTATTCTTCTGAAAACATGAATTCCTATATAAGTTTCTTTTGCCTCCTTTATTATCTATAGATATAAAAGTCTAAGCAACCAAATGACCAGTCGACTGGTCGCTATTATGTGCACTAACCACCAGAGGGGCAGACACTTGATGCAGGAGCTGCCCCCTGGTGGTCAGTGTGCTCCCACAGCCAACCTCCCACATCCCCTCTCCCTGGCCGATCAACCTCCTGTGGTCCCTCCCTGCAGCCGGCCAGCCCCATTGACCCCAATCGGGGCGGCTCTTCCCCCCAGCCAGCCAGCCGGCCAACCTCCCTCAGCCCCTCCCCCCGGCCAACCTCCCACAACCCCGATTGGCCCTGATTGCCAGCCAGGCAGTGGTGTAAATGATCTTATAACTAGGCCTATACTGGTCAGCCAGCTGATATAACACAATGATCACCTCCAAGAGTTAAAGCTTTTTGATTTTCAACAAGTCTTGGATTTGGCAAAGGAAGTTTACCTGTCTTCTCAAATTCAGTATAAGGCACTTTGAATTTGTATAAACCATTTAAACGGAGTTCATAGGCACACCCTAATTTATATTTTGGTTAAGTCTAGATTCCCATATAATGAAGCTGGTTTGTTTAAAGCAAGATAGACCTGTAAATATTTAATAGAATAAACCCAAATCAAATTATCTATACCAGTGGTTCTCAACCTTCCTAATGCCGTGACCCTTTAATACAGTTCCTCATGTTGTGGTGACCCCCAACCATAAAATTATTTTCGTTGCTACTTCATAACTGTAATGTTGCTACTGTTATGAATCATAATGTAAATATCTGATATACAGGATGGTCTTAGGCGACCCCTGTGAAAGGGTCATTCGACCACCAAAGGGGTCGCAACCCACAGGTTGAGAACCACTGATCTATACTAATAAAAGCCTAGGTGACCATCACACCCTCACGTCATCACAAGATGGCTGCCCCCACGTTGTCACAAGATGGCTACCACAAGATGGCCGTCAGGGGAAGGCAGTTGGAGTGAACAGGCCAGCAGGCGAGGGCAGTTGGGGACGATTGGGCTGGTAGGGGAGTGGTTAGGGGGTGATTGGGCTGGCAAGCAGAAGCGATTAGGGGCTGATCAGGCAGGCAGGCAGGCAAGCAGTTAGGAGCCAGCAGTCCTGGATTGTGAGAGGGATGTCCGACTGCCGGTTTAGGCCCGATCCCGGCAGTCGGACATCCCCCAAGGGGTCCCAGATTGGAGAGGGTGCAGGCTGGGCTGAGGGACACCCCCCCCCCAGTGTGTGATTTTCATGCACTGGGCCTCTAGTCCTATATAATAAAAGGCCAGTGACCATAACAACATAACGACCAGAACGACCGATCAACCAGTCGCTATGAGGTGCATTAACCACCTGTCGGTTCCTCCCCCCAGCCCGCAGGCTCCAATCACTGGATGGCAAACAGGGAACCACGGGTAAACCGGAGTGGGTGGCAGCGGGGTGGGACTGGGACTGACAAGCGGGCAGAAGGCAGACCTCTTGGTCCCTCCCCCCGGCCCACAGGCTCAGATTGCTGGATGGCAAACGGGGAACCACGGGGAACTGGGGTGGGCGGTGGCTGGGCAGGACTGGGGACTGGCGAGCAGGCCGAAGATGGCCCTGATCGCAGGCTAGGCCTAGGGACCCTACCCGCACACGATTTCATGTGCTGGGCCTCTAGTATGAGGCGATTTTCTTACCAGAAAATACCAGAGAGCCACTGTGTTGTCCTCAGCAGTCAAAACATATTTAGTAAATATCTACTGTGTTCCAGGCACTATGCCAGGCTTTGGGAATACTGTGGTAAGTAAACCAAGACATCTCCCCTCAGCCCATGAAGTGGGGCATAGGGTCTAGTGGGAGAGAGAGATTTAAATTAAATAATCCCACAAATATGGGAGTAGTCACAGATTGAGTGGGATGTAAATAGTCTGGGTCCGTGGTCGGCAAACTTTGGCTCGCGAGCCACATGCAGTTCTTTGGCCCCTTGAGTGTGGCTCTTCTTGAGCCTTAGGAGTACCCTAATTAAGTTAATAACAATGTACCTACCCATATAGTTTAAGTTTAAAAAATTTGGCTCTCAAAAGAAATTTCAGTTGTTGTACTGTTGATATTTGGCTCTGTGGACTAATGAGTTTGCCAACCACTGGTCTGGGTGAAAGGAACAAGGTTCTATGAGAACACCCAAGAGGGGAACCCAAGCTAGAACAGAAGTGGGTTGATCAAAGAAGCTTACACAAAGAAGTGAAACTTAAACCAAAGGAAATGCAGGAGCTAATGGGGGAGGAAAATAGTGAGGAGATCATAGTACGCTGGGGAAATAGCATGTGCTAAGGTTGACCATGTGGCCAGGGGAGCTCGGCAAGTGTGCCAGACTGAGGAAGCACCAAGGAGTTTAGGAAAGAGGAGTGGACATAGAAAGGTCAACAAAGGTCAGAGTCAGCAGGGCTCTAAAAGTCATATGAAAAATTCTTATCTTTATTATCCCTTGAATAATGAGAACCTGTAGAGGAGTTTTGTTTCATTTTGCTTATGTTGTTGTTACATCACCTAGATCAAGATATAAAACATTTCCATAATTTCAGAAAGTTCTTTAATGTCCCCTTTGAGTTAATATAACCCCCCTTCCCCCAACAAGGGAGCCACTATTCTTTTATTACCTTAAATTATTTCTGTCTGGTCTAGAACTCATAGGAATGGAATCATACAGTCTATACCATTGTGTCTGGCTTATTTCATTTAACATTATGCCTGTAAGATTCATCCATGGCATTACATGTAACAGAAGATTTAGAAGGGTTTGACTCAAAAAGGAAACAAAAATGTAAACCTTAGTTGAAGCTCTTAACTACTGGATTTAGGGGAGATTTGTAGTTATCAGAATTAGCTGACATGGTAGTTTAAGGGATACTTGCATACTTGCTCATCTCCAACTATATTCTTATTTTTCAACTTAGGATTCTTTTTCTGCCTTCTCTTCATTGCACAGAAAGACATCAACCATTAGTGAACTTCATCCCAGTTTGTTGCCAAAATAAAAGGGTCTTTCTTATACTTTCTTGGGATAAATGCAAGAAATATCTGCTCAATGAGATTATTGTTTTAGCTTACGCATAATGGAAGGAATGGCAATTTCATATTTTTAAATGCATCTGAACAGGCAATGAGATTGTAGGCTTGTAATACTGTCTTTATTCATACAATGACCAGACTAATTAATCTCTAAGATCCTTAAAGTTATATGAATTGGATCTATTAGTGGTGGTTTTGTTGACTGGCCTCTATTATCTTTCCCTAGAGCTGCATTTCAATGGAAATGTCGAGGGGGAAAAAAAAGAAAGGAAGGAAGGAAGGAAGGAAGGAAAAAAAAGAAAGAAAGAAAAACTTTTTAGCTGTGTGGCCTTTGAAGGTTTGAAGACTCAGGTATATGTAAGCATCAGATAACATCTTTTACTTAAAAAAAAACACACAAAAGAAACATAACATAAATACCCCAAATGAAATTGCTTTGCAAATGTTAATGATTATTGTTACTATCAATTCTTACTAGTGACTTTATTCACTTCAAAGGTACATTATTAATGCTTTTGTTTTACTATGTGTGAATCCTTTAACTTTGATTATATATTTACTTAATTGCTTTGATTAGCATGTGGAAGTCTACTAGTATAATTCCTCTATATTGAAACATATGGGAGTTTCCTGTCAAGACATCAAAATTACAACTAAACTACAGAACAACCATCATTCAGAATCACCTGAAATCTGGCTGAATGGAAGTCCTACAAATACAGAATTAAAGAAGAGGCCACATTGAGACTGGTAGGAGGGGCAGAGACACAGACTGGGCTGGTCACACCTACATATTTTATGAAATGTTAAAGGGTCTTCTTTAAGAAGAAGAAGAAAAAAAGATAAAAAATATGAACACCAAAATGGCAATAAATACCTATCTATCAACAATTGAATCTAGAAAACAAAATGAACAAGAACAACAAAAATAGACTCATAGATTCAGAGAACATTTTGACAGTCGCCAGATGGAAGGGCAGTTGGCGGGGTGGGTAAAAAAGGTGAAGGGATTAAGAAGTACAAATTCGTTGTTACAGAATAGTCATAGGGATGTAAAGTACAGCATAGGGAATCTATAATAATAAAAGTGTAATATGCTAATTCGACCAGACAGCCGAACGACCTTCCAGATGTCCTTCCAGACGAAGGCAGGGCTGAAAGGGCTGAGGCAAGCAGCCACAGCTGTGAGGGCCAAGCCCCTTGCACGAATTTCGTGCATCAGACCTCTAGTATAGTCAATAATATTCTAATAACTATGTATGGTGTCAGATGGGTGTGAAATTATCGGGATGATCACTTAGTAAGTAATGTCTAATCACTGCATTGTACACCTGAAACTAATATAATAATAATGTATGTCAACTGTAATTGAAAACATTTTTAAATTATTTTTAAAAAGAAACATAGCCCTAGCTGGTTTGGCTTAGTGGATAGAGCATTGGCCTGCGGACTGAAGGGTCCTGGGTTTGATTCCAGCCAAGGGAACATGCCCGGGTTGCGGGCACGATTCCCACTGTGCAGGAGGCAGCTGATCCGTGATTCTCTTTCATTGATGTTTCTACCTCTCCTGTCAAGACATCAGGAGATGTCTTCCTCTCTGAAGTCAATAAAAATATATATTTTTTAAAAAACATAAAATTATTATATTGGCTTTCTGGATGATTATTGAGATATTACTGTTTCATTCTTGTATGAACAGGGTTTTTAAAAATCTTCTTTTGCTTTAAAGTATGAAAGGATATAAAGTGAAAAGTTTCTCCCACTTGTCTTCCAGCCCATTCCCTTTCCTCAGGCAACCAATTTGCTAGTTACTTTGGTAGCCTTCCACAAAAGTTTTATACAAATAAGTGTATATACTTAACTGCATTTCCCTTTCTGGGGATACAGATGCTAACTTATTTTTCTTCTTTTTTTTTTTTTAGCATATAATGAGCTTCTTTATCAGAAAAAAAATGGGAATGATTTTTGGCACATAATGAGCTTCTTTATCAGAAAAAAAATGAGTACCTACTTCATAGAGTTTATGTGAAAATTAAATAAAGTTAACCTATGTAAAGCACTTAGAAAAATGCCAGGCATGTTGTAACCTCTATGTTAGTTTTTTTGTTAACCCTCACCCAAGGATTTTTTCCCCATTGATTTTTAGAGAAAGTAGAAGGGGGAGGGGACCCATGGGGTCAGCGTGAAGCGCCCCTGTGCTCCTAGGACATTTCTACTGCTGCACCAAGAGGACACCCATCTTCTGTGGACTTGGAATTCCTGGAGAGCTGCATTTATGAACAACTGGCAATAATTTCTTAAGTCCTACCCTCTTCATTTTCCTTTGTGTTGTGTTTTGGAACATCCAAAAACTATGAAGATGAACAACATTAGTAATGAAGAGTTTGACTGCCATTTCCTCAATGAGGGCTTTACTGCCAAGGACCTTCTAGACCAGTGGTTCTCAACCTTGGCTGCACATTAGAATCACCTGGGAATCTTTCTAAAATCCTGATTTCTGGGCCTCATCCTCCGGAAATTCTGTTTCTTTGTTACTATTGTTGTGGCCCCACATTTATTTATTTATTTATTTATTTTTTTAGCCCTTGACCGGAATCGAACCTGGGACCCTTCAGTCCACAGGCCAACGCTCTATCCACTGAGTCAAACCGGTTAGGGCCAGAAATCAGGATTTTAAAAAGAATCCCAGGTGATTCTAATGTGCAGCCAAGGTTGAGAACCACTGTTCTAGACCAAAAAATTGATGAAGTCTCTTCTTCCAATGATAAGGATGCCTTCTCTGCTGCAGATCTGGGAGACATTCTAAAGAAACATCTGAAATGGTTAAAAGCTTTTCCTTGGTATACCCTCTTTTATGCAGTCAAATGCAGTGATAGCAGAACCATAGTGAAGACTAGCTGTCATCGGGACGGGATTTGACTATGCCAGCAAGACTGAAATACAATTAGTGCAGAGTCTTGGGGTGCCTCCAGGGAGGATTATCTATGCAAATCCTTGTAAACAAGTGTTTCTGATTAAATATGATGCCACTAATGGAATCCAGATAATGACTTTTGATAGTGAAGTTGAGTTGATGAAAGTTGCCAGAGCACATCCAAAGGCAAAGTTGGTTTTGTGGATTGCAAAGCAGTCTGTCGTCTCAGTGTTAAATCTGGCGCCATACTTAAAACCAGCAAGTTTCTTTTGGAACAGGCAAAAGAAGTATGTATCTGCTGGATATTGGAGGTGGCTTTCCTGGATCTGAGTATGCAAAGCTTAAATTTGAGGAGATCACCTGTGTAATCAACTCAGTATTTTCCAACAGACTCGGGAGTGACACTCATAGCTGAGCCAGGCAGATACTATGTTGCATCAGCTTTCATGCTTGCAGTTAATATCATTGCCAAAAAACTGGTATTAAAGGAACAAACAGGTTCTGATGATGAAGATGAGTTAAGTGAAAAAACCTTTATGTATTACGTGAATGATGAGTATATGGATCATTTAATTGCATCTTCTATGATCATGTGCACGTAAAGCACCTTCTGCAGAAGAGTCCCAAACCAGATGAGAGGTATTCTTCATCCAGTATGTGGGACCAACCTGTGACAGCCTCAATTGCATTGTAGAGCACTGCGGCTTACCCAAGATGCATTTGGGGGACTAGATGCTCTTTGAAAACATGGATGCTTACACCATTGTTGCTTCTATTCTCAATGGATTCCAGAGGCAGACCATCTACTATGTGATGTCAGGGTCGGCATGGAAACTGATGTGGCAAGTCCAGAACAACTTCCAGCCCAAGGTGGAGAAGCAGGAACACCAGTGCTCTGCTTGTGTCTGGTGCCTGGGAGAGCGGGATTTCAGCTCCTATTAATGTGTAGATGCCATTCTTGTAGCTGTTATGCAAGTGTAGTTTGACTTAAGGGACTTGGGGGGGGGACCATTTAACTTCATTATTAATAATTTTGAAATGTCTTTGTAAGTGGGATTGGCACAGATGGAACAAGGTGGAAGGCCTAGGTGACGGGGTCACACTTATCTGTGTTCCTATGGAAACTATTTGAATGTTTGTTTTATATGGATTTTTATTCAATTTTTAAACATGCTACTGCAGAGTGCCCCTTAGCTGCTGGGCAAGCATTTGTAGCTTGTACATTGGCAGAACAGGCCAGAGGCTTAGTGTTGTGACCTGTTTTAACAACGAAGTACCTTGAAAATTTTTAAAATAAAATAAACATTTATTTTTATTCATTTCAGAGAGGAAGGGAGAAGGAGAGAGAGATAGAAACATCAATGATGAGAGAGAATCATTGATTGGCTGTCCCCTGCACAACCCATACTGGGGATCTGGCCCGAAATCTGGGCATGTGCCCTGACTGAAATCGAACTGTGACCTCCTGGTTCATAGGTCGACACTCAACCACTGAACCACACTGGCCAGGCTCTATATTAGTTTTTTATTTCTGTGTAACAAATTACCAAAAAGTTAGTGGCTTAAAGCAATATCCATGTATTACCTCACAGTGTCTATATGTCAGAGTATGGGTATGGCTTAGCTGGTTTCTGTGCCTGGGTCTCACAATGCTGACATCATTGTGTCAGCTGGGCTGCTTTCTCACCTGTACACTCAACAGGAAAGAATTTTCTTCTAAGTGCTCTCAAGCTGTTGGCAGCTGTAGAATTCATGGCAGCTTGCTTCTTCAAAGCCGATGGGAGAGAGAGTCTGCTGCTTGGAGGATCTGTCCTCAGGGAATGCGTATGTTCTCTGTTTTGTTTTGTTTTTAAATTAAGATATAATCCATATATTATAAAATCTATCCTTTTAAACTGTATAATTTGTGGGTTTTAGTATATTCACAAAGGTGTGCAACTAACAGCATATCTAGTTCCAGAATATTTTCATCACCCCAAAGGTAATCCTATAATTAATTAGCAGTCTGTCCTCATTCTCTCCTCTCTCCAGCCCCTGGTAATCACCTATCATCTGTTCCTATGAATTTGCCTATTTTAAACTTTCATATGAATGGAATAATACAATATGTGACTTTTTGTATCTGGTTTTTCTCTTAACATAATCTTTTCAAGGTTCTTCCACATGGTAGCATGTATCAATATTTCATTCCTTTATATGGCTGTATTCCATTGTATGGATATACCCTATGGTAGATATTTAGGTTGTTTCCAGTCCTTTGCTATTAAAAACACTTGTCCCATTACAAACAACAGTGGATATCCTTGAATAAACATTAAGAATGTGAATGAGTACGTATATCTGTATTATAAATTTCTAGAAAATTGTGAAGTCAAAGGTTTATGCATCAGTAATACTGATTTTATTGCTGAGTTATACCATTTATATCCTGTCTTTTAAAGTACTGTTTGAGGAGGTGATATGAAATGGCAAAGTGGAAAATGCACTGGGTTCTGGACTTTGTTTTGCCACTAAGAGGACAGGTTAGCATATAGCGGTTAATAAGAGCATGGGCTTTGGAGGCAGACTGCCTAGGTTAGAATCTTGGTTCTGCCATTTATAATCTAAATGACCTTAAGAAAGTTAAATACTCTGTCTCAGTTTCCTTATCTGTAAAATAGAGATGACATTAGTACTTTGTGTGGGGATTAATGAGACAATACATTTAATACTCTTATACCAGTGCTTGACATATAGAAAGTACTCAATGCATGTTAACTGTAATTATTAGCTTGCTGTGTGATCTTGGGCTACTGCCCTTTCCTATTTATTTATTTTATTTTTTCCATCACTATTTGTCTCCTCTTCCCCTTCCTCCACGCCCGCAATCACCACACTGTTGTCCATGTCCATGAGTTCTTTTTTGTTCAATCCCTTCACTTCCCCCAACACTCCCCCCCTCCATGCTTTTCTATTTTTAAAATGAGTTGAATTGGATTATTTTCATGTTTCAAAATTTTAAAAATGAAATTGTGGTCCCTGGGTATTTAATGATAAACTCTCATATTCTCTAATGCTCCTTGTGTTGTTGTTGAGGGTAAGGGACATCATAGGTTTTATACTTCTAACCTTTGGTAGCCCATGCCCCAGATCCATGTACTACAACTGTGGTAGCTCTTCCCCTTGCACACCTCCCCACCTCCCCCATACATACTGGATATCTATATGCATACATATATAAACACACATATGTACATCCTCTTTATCTCACTGTGTTAATTTTCCTGAGATAGGTAGGATTTACCAAATGTATGCCCCTCTATCCCTCTCCTAGAGCTGACTCTTCACTTAACTTGTAGGTCTCCATTTAGCCATCACTATTGACTCTAGTTTTAGATATATTCCCCACTGAACCATAAAGTCAAAGGAGATAACCATGTCCACTTGCTTCAGAATTACATCCTCAGCACATAGCAATGGTTAGCACCCATTAAACAACTAAAAAATATTATAACATTGAATATTAGTAATTAGTAATATCCAGCAGAACCTGATTTTTTTTGCTATGATAATTGACTATATAGTTAAAATTATATGTTAGAGCTTTCCAATTTTCTTATACCTTATAATGTATAATACTGATTTGTTAAAAAATTTTTAAATAAATGATTTGGAATATAAAATTTTTATCGTCACAAAATTTAAGATGCAGTCTCTGTGGAAGACTAATGGTTCTCTAGTCTTAGTTTTAAGTACCCTTTACCACCAACTGGTGTGTTTGCTTTATGCATAGCCTAGGATTTCTACCTTCCAAGCTGGCTGTTGATAAACAAATGAGGATTGCCTTGATTGAGTAATGGCACCAGTATGCAACTAGTTCCTATTTATTATCTTTTAATTTGATAAAATTAACTTTTAGGGATACTTTTTAAAAAATATATATTTTATTGATATTTTACAGAGAGGAAGGGAGAGGGATAGAGAGTTAGAAACATTGATGAGAGAGAAACATCGATCAGCTGCCTCCTGCACACCTCCTACTGGGGATGTGCCTGCAACCAAGGTACATGCCCTTGACCGGAATCGAACCTGGGACCTTTCAGTCCGCAGGCCGATGCTCTATCCACTGAGCCAAACCGGTTAGGGCTAGGGATACTTTTAATAAACCAACATAAATGTTTAGAGACCTCAACATTTGTTTCTGATCTTCTGTAGCCTCTTTTATATCAAGTAAAGTGCCTCTTCCTCCAAATTTAAAAAGTCACTTTTATCTTAAAATAATGAACATTTTGTTTCAATATAGCTCATGTTTTCATCAGTATTTTTTCATGTTTTTACATGAACTGTTTACTAAAAGGAATAATTGTTTTATTACACTCATTGTCCTTCCATTTACTCAGTTGATTCAAATAGGTTGGGCAAACCATGATTAGCTTTTCCATATAGGCTGTTAAACAGGGATGTTTATCACAGGACCTAGGAATTCAACTTTCATGTTGATCTTGAGGATGTTCTTTAAGTAGCAAGGCCTAGAGCAGAGGTGGGGAACCTTTTTTTCTGCCAAGGGCCATTTGGATATTTCTAACATCATTTGCTGGCCCTATAAAATTATCAACTTAAAAATTAGCTTGCTATATTTGGTCAAACATTTAATTAACTCACCCCTAATGCCTTGGCAGGGCCAGACCAAATGATTTCCCAGACCTTATATGGCCCGAGGGGTGAACATTCCCTACCTCTGGCCTAGAATTTTGTTATAATTATAGGTTTGGTCAGTCATCTCCTTTGGAGACCGCTGGAGTTTGAGAATCGAGATTTGGGTTCCAATCCTGATCTTGCTGCCAGGAGACTGAACTAGGTGTCAATCCTCATGTCTTCATCCATAATGCATAAAGGTGCACAGCTGCTGTCAAGATCAGGTCTTGGAGAAGTAGTCAAGTGTAAGGGCTTTGTGATGGAGTTAAATAGACCTGACTTCAAGTTCTGATTTTCATAACTTCATTTAGTTCAAGGTCTTGAAATACTTTAAAAAATCCGTATTTTAAATTGTGAACAACACCGGCATA